GCCTGGAGCCCCCTCTCGTGGGCAGCTCGGGAGCAGGTTGCCCAGCCCGGAGCTCACAGGGCTCCAGCACTGCCTCACTCGGGAAGAGCGCAGAGATTCCCAAGTCCCTTCCACTGCTCCCACCTGGGACCTGTGATTGAGACCTGCGAGAGGCCACAGGTTTTGCTGAGGGGACGTGGTACAGGGGCAGCCACCACTCAAGTCTCTGGAAACCCTGACAGTTCCTGGTGGAAAAGCTGCTGCTGGGTCTCAGCACAGCCCCCTCCACAGCGGAGACCAGAGAGCTCTGCCGGGAGCAGGGCCAGGCTGAGGCTGCTGAGGGGCAAATGACCCAGGGCTTCGTTGAGGGCTGGAGCTGCCCCTCACCATCACGCTTTGCCCCTCACGGAACGGCCAGGGCCTGCGTGTGCCTTCCTGCTGGCATAAACTCCAGGCTCTACACAGACGGACAGGGCACAGTTCCTGCTCCTCTGCAGGAGGAAGGGGAGCCCCAACCTGAGACTGTCCCTCCAATAAGCAGGAGGAGGATGAAGATGAAGGCTACCGAGGGGAGGGAGAGACGACACAGTGTTATGTTAGTGTCTTAAAACTTTACTATGGTCCACAGTTAACAGCAGAAAGGGACTTCTAAATAAGTTACAAACGAAAAAGATATTTTGTGGAAGTGCAAGACCTGCAGACAGTGGCATATTAACAGAACACCAAGAGCATGGCTTTGATTCGGCGCGGACCAAGCGCAGCCACAAAGCAAGGGAGCCCCTGGGACAGCCGGCACAGAGACACGCTCTGCTGAGGCCGTGGGTCTGCAGGGCGGGTGGTGCTGCAGCCTCTCCCAGAGCCTCAGGGGCAGCAGAGCCAGGGCCCCGGCGGCGGCTCCCCTCGCTCCCAGCACTGCCGTCACTCTGCCACGGGTTTCGCTTTCTTGGCTGCTTCTATCTGCGTCAGCATTTCGTCCCACTGGACAAACTGCTTGGAGAGAAGCAGGGTCTGGACATGGCTCTTAAGGAAAAAGGGGATGTGGAGAGTTCACGTGGAAACTTCAGGGAAGGAAACTGAGGTCGGAACACCAAGAACCCCCTGGCACTGTGACCCTGACTGATGGATGGAGAAACCTGGGGCATCCGCACATGGAAAGTCCACGATGACTCAAACTGCCAAAGCCCTGAGCCACCAAATAGCACCCAACCCTGACTCACATCCATGAAGCACTTCTGAACATTGAGACAGCACTCAAGGGGCTCAATCTATGACCTAGAACAGCCCAAAGCTTCCTAACCACCAGGTCCAGGACACATCCCAGCGCTCCCACACGCCAAATGCACCGTCAGCGGATCTAGCAGAGGCCCTGGCTTGCACGTGACTCCCTGTGCGTCCTGTCCCAGAGAGGGGGCAGTTCTGGTGCTCGGGTGGCACTGCCCTTGATGTGACAAACGTAGACACTGCTATTCAGCCTGGCACCGGGGGCTCTGCTGCCAGCAGTGCACGGTGGGGCAAGCAGGCACAGGAAATGGGCAAGTGGTTCAGCTGTGTCGCGGCCAAGGCACCAGCTAAAAGGATACCATTTTGTTGTAGTCTTCAAGGAGCATCTTGACAGCATCTGTGAGAGCTTCACACTGCTCCTGCAAAGGAGGAAGTCTCTGTGAGTGAGCATGGAGCCCCAGGACATTTGTCTTCCCAGTCCCTGATGCTGGACAGTGGAAACGCATCCAAAGCCAGTACTGACATAGGAACTTGTTGCAGCTGGAGGTGTTTTGAGAGTCAAGAGAAATGAAAGGTTACAGAGAAAACCCAGGGCAAAGTGCCCAAGCTCACACTGCTGCCTGCCCCCTGTCAAGCTGTACTCGCTTGGCCCAGAAGGAAACCACGCCGTGACAAATGCCTGGCCACGGGGCTACAGAAACACTCGCAGCAGAACGGCTCAGTGAGGCAGCAAGCGCTGCCCAGGACGTTCACAAAAGGTCCCTCTGGCCGAGGCTGCGATGGACATTCACGTTACCTGCTGCTGTATGTGGATTTGAGAGAGCCGCTGCAGCTTGGCTGCGGGGTCAGGAACAGCTGAAAGCAGAGATGAGAAGTTACTTCTCCGGAGGCACAGAACAACTCTGCTCTCCGAGCGCAAACACCATGCACCAAAAACACACCCTTTATCTCGTTAAAACACTCCTGGCTACGCTGCACCTAAAAATGGCATGAGTTAGGCGATGCCTGCACTGAAGATTGCTCAGGAGCTGCATCAGAGCAGCTGGAACATTCTAACAGCTAACTGAAAGGGAATCTCTGCCAGGAGCAGGGATGCTGTGGCACGGCAGCTTACGAGCAGCAGGCAGAGGGGCTCTGTGTCAGGCTGATGACCTGCAAAGGGGCTCCTCTGACCTGCTTCTCTGCTTGCCCAGTCACCTCCTCAGCCCTGTGCAGCAGCCCCACTCCCTGCAGACGTCTGCTAGCAACACGACAGCTACACCCTGCCCAGTGCCATGTGCTTTGGGACAGGGGTCTTCCCAGGGATAACTAAGCAGAACTATAAATTTACACTTTACTCACACTGGGTTGTGCGTGCTTAGGTCTCCTTTCCTCAAGTCTGAAACTTGAGGGGAAAAAAGAGAGCCCTGGGCTAGAGCTAACTGGAGAAGAGTGTTTGCAGCTCAGGAAGAGCTTGCAGAAGGGTGAACAGTACCTTGGATACAGGGGCTGTCCAAGACAGGCTGGAGGGTCTTCACCTGCTCCAGGAGGGCTGCCTGGGAAGGAACAAACTGCTCCTCTGATTGGGGAGAGATGAGAAGGAACATCAGTAAGCACAGTAAGACGACACTGCTTTTGTTTTGCACAAATACTTGAAAGGCAACAGTGGAGTAATGGGTATGGATCAGTTTTAAACCACGTACGTCTAACACAGCAAAGAGCAACTTGGCAAATATAAAGTGTCTTGCGGCCAAAACTAGAAGAGGAGAAACTCTAGCTGAAGACTCCAAGTCTCTGACACTCTCCTCGGAGGCTTTGGAATTGTCAACCAGAGATTATTCTTAAACAGTCAACTGTAGCCTCAAAAGGTTACGGCCCCACGGCACCCACTGCAAGCTACACACAAAAGGACTTGTGTTCGATTTTATTTTGCCTTCTACAGCCAAAGAACCAGCCAAAATGTTTTGTCACATCTTTGTCAGCCAAGACATTTTGTCTGATAAATATTAGGCCTGAGATATAAAAAACTGTTTTAGAACTAGTTTTTCTTCTCGTGTTTTACCAATTCAGGGTTAAACTACCCAACACTAAAGAGTGTGGATTTGATAAAACCGAGGTATGAACATGTACAGGGAAGCACCAAGGGTGACAGATATTCTTGTTCCAATATCCACCACTTCCCAGGCTGTTTAAAAAAAAACTTTTGGAGTGTTAAAGAAAAACGAGCGTCCTCATTTTGTGCCCTACCTGCCAAGATGAACTGCAGCTTCATAGCATCCGGAAGGGCCATTCTGTCAATGTACTGAGGATCTAGGTATTTTATTACATCTTCAACTAAAACGAAAGATAAGCTCAGAGAGAAAGAATAGAAGAAATATTCTGATCTCTGCGAGTGCAATTTTCCACAGCGCTAGAAAAAAAAGGTGCTTAAATATAGAGTTAGTTTGTAAATAATGTCCACTGAGAGTTCTTTTTTATTCAAATCAGGAATTGTGACAGCACTTCAAAGGGGGTGTTCGGAGGGTTCCAGCTAACACCACAACCAAGAGCTCACAAAATGGCTCAAGCCGTGTAACTACTTGGTTATGGGAGCAGAGCCTCTGTGATGCTCCTCAAGCAGCATTAGCCAAATAAAACGCAGATATTCCAGGCATCGGACCTGCCCCTTCCTGCCCGTAGAGCAAAACAAGTAAATAGCCGGGTCCCCTTTCACTGCTGAACAGAAGCAAAAATAAATAAAGATACATAGACATACACACACACACACGATTTTTGTTTTAAACCAAAGAGGCACCATCGTCTTGGACCATGACAGGGCACACTGCACAGTTCCCGGTTAGGAAGCAGCACGGAACGGACCTGCCCCTTCCTGCCCGTAGAGCAAAACAAGTAAATAGCCGGGTCCCCTTTCACTGCTGAACAGAAGCAAAAATAAATAAAGATACATAGACATACACACACACACACGATTTTTGTTTTAAACCAAAGAGGCACCATCGTCTTGGACCATGACAGGGCACACTGCACAGTTCCCGGTTAGGAAGCAGCACGGAACGATATTCTCGTATTTCTGACCCCAAAACAGACAGCGAGCAGCTTGGTGGCGTGGGGAGGGCTCCGCGGCGCTGCTTC